TATATCCTATTATTATTTCCTCTCTTTTACTACTATTTTTTAAATCTCCTTTTTAATTAAAATTACCCGTTTTATTAGCGCCTTTACTATTCGATTTTCCTTTATTGCCCGATCTTTTTCTTTACCCCCTTTAATAATTTTTATTAATAGGTGGTTGCCCCTTACCTTTTATTCTTCTCTTTGTAATTGTAGCTTCTTTGATAATTTATTTATTAGATTTAATTTTCCCGGATAATATTTAATTTTAAAGTTATATGTTGCTAATTTTAATATTTATTAATTTTATTTTACGTTAGCCCGCTCCTTTTTTTAAAAATATTATAGGTTTAAGTGATTTGTAATTATTAGGAACGGTTTATTTATATATAATAAGTATTACTTCTATACTTTTAATGCTCTTACGATTATTAATAGTTCTCTATCCCCAATTTTATATTTAGTTTCCTCCGGCGATTTCTTCTTTAAAAAGAAAGTTACCGGGTATTATTTGTTATTGTATAATTATATAAGAATTGCCCCGATTGCGAAGTTTGATGTGTCCGTCTCTATTCGGATTTATAATATTAGGTTAAAGTAGTATAATATAGGAGTTTCTTGGAATTGTTTTTTGAATTTTATAAATATTTTTTCTATTTCCTTTGTGAGTTCGAACGGCCTTTGTTTATCTCCCTTTAGTAATTCTATTAGGGGTATAGTTACTTTAGAGTATAATATTACGAAGTATTGATAGAATTTTGTAAACCCTAGGAAAATTTGGATATTGTAAATATTCACCAGAACTTTCTATTCTACTATTACTATTACTCTCTTTAGATCTATTGCTATACCTTCCGGGGAAATAATATATTTTAGGAATAATATTCGTTTTATATAAAATTTATATTTATTTAAATTTATATAGAAGTTACAATTTTATAATTGTTAAAGGACTTTTTTAATATGGTTAATATAGTCTTTTTTATTTTTATTATAAATTAAGATATTATTAAAGTAAGTAATATATATAGTATTTATTAGTTTTGTTAATGTATTGTTAATATACGTTTAAAATATCGTCGGTACGTTCGCCAATCCTATTAGTATAATTAAGAATTTATAGTACCCGTACTTCGTGCGAAACGTTATTTTTTTTTTATTTCCCTCTCGAATTTGAATTTTATAATATACGTCCTTTAAATTTAATTTTATAAAGACCTTAATTAATAATAACCGATTTAGAATCTTTTGAATAAGGAATAATATTATCCGATTTTTTTTTATAATTTTATTTAACGTTTTAAAATTAATATAAAACTTTAATTTTTTACCTTTCTTTAGAATAAAAATGATAGGAACGTTCGTTAGGTTAATAGAGGGATAAATTTACCCTTTTTAGAGTATTTCTATTAGTTATTCGTATAATATTTTTAATTTTTTAATATTTAATATATAAATTGGTCCTTAAGGTGTTAATTCTCCTTTAATTAGATTAATACAATATTTTAGCCGATTGTATTAGGGTAGGGGTATAATTAAAATTTTAAATACCGACCGGAATTCTTTATATTCTAGCGGGATAATTAATTTGGGGACAGCGGGTTCGTTTTTTATTTCTTTTAATAATTCTAAGGGTTATAGTAGTATTAGTTTTACGGGGGGTATTAGAGTGGGGTAGATGTTATTAAGTATTATTTAAAAAATTTTTATTGGGAGGGTAGGGATTGGAGGTAATTCGGCCGATTCTACTATATTGGATAGGGTTATAAATTCTAATACTAAGGAAGAGGGGATTTTAAATGGGATATTCGTGTGTGCGGGAGGGCGGAAACCCTCTTCTACTCTTATTATTTCTTAAGAGTCTAATAGTAGAATTAAATTTTATTGTAGCCCTATTAGAACAGTTATAGTATTGTATATTTCTTTCGCTAGTACTATATTCAATACGAAATCGCTAGCTTCGATATAAAATTGAAATAATTATTATTATTAATTAATATTAGAGTTTTATTTATAAAATTAGGGGTAATTAAAAATAATTTTTACGGTTAGGAATTTAATTATAGTAAAAATAATTTACTTTATCCGTTTAATACTATAGGAATTATTTATTTTAATAAAATAGGTAATTATATTATATATAAGAATAGACTAAAAAGAGAAATTAATAAAATAATAGGGTATTAGATTAATTTTTACATTCGACGGGAGTAAATACTTATTAATTAAATTTAATTCTATACTCGAATTTATTAATTTTTACGTATTCTACTAATCTCTATAAATCTTTACTAATAACCTCGTCTCTAGGTATATTTACAATTTACTTACATTATCTTAAATAGTTACAGCTACCGCTTTAGTTGCAATCGATTCGGTATTCGCTCTATATAAGAGGGTACTTACGGGGATAGAGTAATTCTATATTAAATAGCTAACTTAACTATAATTATAATAAATTCGGTTTAAATATATTATTATAAAATAGCTTATTATATTATATTTGTAGTAGGTATTCGGTAATTTTAATTAGGTATATTAATTATACGTATAGCCTTTCTAATAATAAAAGGAATAAATAAAATTAGAATTTATTTAAAAAGCAGTAGGGGGGCGACGGGGAAAATCGGAGGGGTTATTACTATAGAACAATTAAGAAGGGATATTCAAAGAGGAGGTAGGAGGGTATAAAAACGAAGAAAATAATAGATTATACCTTAAAAATATTTAATATTAGTAATACAATACGGACAGTTCAATACTTTTTAGACCTTTTAACTATTCTATATACGCTACTACTTTATTTATTATATTAATATTAGCCGTTGAGAGGATGCTTTATTTGAAAAGGGAATATAATTGGTTGGTTTAAATAACAATCCGAATATATTTCGGTTAATTATATAATAAATTGAATTTTTCGGTATAATAGCGGTTATAGAAGTTACGAATAGTTTTTGAAGCGTTTTATTATATATATTTGAGTTTATTAAAAATAGATTATTTAATAGCTTAAATATTATTATTATATTCGGTCTTTAAGAAAGTATAGAGGTTATTCTATATAGGCGTATTACGAATAGTATTATACCCGGGTTTATTACGGAGAGTTAGTATGTGTTTGATTTATACGTTTTTAGGATTACTTTTAATATAATTAATAGTAAATAAGAAGGAAATATAAGGGTATTTTTAAAAGTATATATTGATATTATAAAGGTAGTTCTATAATTGTAAGAAATTTTCGCTAATAAATTTAATAATATTATATTTAGGATAGTATTTAATACGGGCCGGTATAGCTATAGTTAGTAAAGGGGTAATTATAGCGACGGCCGCTAATAAAGGGGTAGTAAGGGGAGATATAATAGAAATATAAATTTGGTTATAAAAGAAGTAATCCTAATAATAAAACTTAATAGGGATAGGGGGGTAGTTTCCTATTAAATTTTATTCGGTAAGGTTTATAAATACAAATTACTCCTACTAAGATATATACAAAGGGAAATAATTAAAGAGGAATTTAATTATAATGAATTAAAATTCGAATAATTACTATTTATATACGAATTTATTAGCTTCCGAGGCTTAGGGATACAAATAGGGAGTTTAGGGCAATATAGGGGGGTAATTTTTATTACTATTTTCTTCAATAAATTTTATAATAGGTTAGCATTATTATAATAAGGGTAGAGGAGGTTGGATCGTTTTAATTATAGTAATTATAAGAGTAATAGTACAAAAGGGATAAGGAGTAACTTTAGTAGTACGAGAAATAGATTGGCTATTATATGTGTATATTTTAACAATATTAATTCAATTCCCGGAGGAAGAATTATTAATTTATTAGGAATATAGGTAAAAAGTAGGCTAAGGTGACTATAGTCGTAGCTATACGTAGGGGACGGTAAATTAGGGGTTAATTTAAAGATATATTAATAGTTATTAATTATAATAAAATACATTCCGTTATACCTCTTTTATACTTATACAAACTCTATTCATTCGCTAATGAATATTATAGAGCCTTATACTAGTCTAGCGTCTCGGCGCGGTGCCGGATTATCCTTCCCGCGAGCCCGACCCGATATGGGCGTTGTTATAAATAATCCTACGCTTCAATTGACGAAGGGGAGTAGCAGCCGCTGAGGTACTTCTGTGTACGGGCTCTTAGCCTCCTGACATATAATATTATTAATCTTTTTTATAGTTCGCTCTTACTACTTAATTTCGTCTTATATCTCTTATTAAACTCTCTTGATTATTATAGTACTAAGTTAATCTTTTAAAAAAAATAGAGATAATTTACCGGTAAGGATTTTATATACTCTCCTCCTTATACGACGGTCGAGGTTAACCTCCCTCTCGCAGTTATACCGGTTTCTTTCTTAAATCTTATCGTAATTAAATATAACTTCCCTTATAATTTAGAATACATAAGGGTAATTAATATAGGTAGGAGAGTTAAATATATAAAAATAATAGTTAATAATATAGTTAATAACTTTAATAGCCTTCTTAAACCGATCCTTATATAGTATTATATTAGAATAGGTAGGGTTAAATTTAAGGGAGTACTATTTAACTTTAATCTATAATAATACCCTTTATATATTGACTAACTAGAGTCTAATATTTTTAAATCTATCTATAATATTATAAATTATAAAATTATTAATAATAATATTATTAAACTTACGAATAAAAATTATATAGTTAAAATTATATTCGCCCTATTAAACGAATTCGTAAAGCGCCTTCTAGTAATATAATTTAAAAGAGGAGAAAACTCCTATATTAAACGACTATATAATATAGGTAGAGTATAGTAGTAAAGTAAGGATATAAATATTAAATATTTTAATATATTATTTGACTACTATATTATAGTAGCTACTAAAATTATTAATAATAAGTAGTCGATATATAGGATTTATATTAGGGAGCCGCCTTTTATTAATATTAATAGTATAATCCTCTAATTAACGGCTATTAATATTATATTTATATTAATTACAACCGAACTAATTCATAAAGCTGTACCCGGTCTTTTTAAACGTTAGCGATACTTCAAAGCTATATAGATTAAAATACTTTAACCAATTAAATATAATCTCTATACTCGAAAAGCCGGTAGGTAACTTTATAAATCGTATATTACTAGGGAGATCGTTAATAGTAAACTCTTTAGTAGGATTAATTTTAAAAATAAAGTAAATAGGGATATAACTACCAACGGTATTTACACTAGTAATTAGAATATATAACTCTCTATTAGCCAAATTAGATATTTCTAATTAAAATTAACCGTTAACATACTACAACCAGAAGGGATTATATTCAATCAAATTAAATCTCTCCTACTAACCTTCCTTTTATCCCCCAACTCTCTCAATACAACAACCTTCACGCAACCATTTAACACACAACTAATATAAACACTATATTCGTCGCTATTTTAATAGTTATAAGGAGGAATGGCGGCGGCGATATCCTTATACTTATTGAATTAGTCGTTTATTAACTTAGTATTTAATTCCTAGAAATAATATTTGAAATTTATAGTATAATATATTATCGAATGTAATTCCGGATAATTAATTATAAACCTTATAAACTAACGTTTATTAAATTCGGTTACTAGCGGGTTTATTCTTATCAACCTCAACCGGTTAATAATAATTATTACTATTAATTATAATATAGAGAACCTTCTTTTAAAATAAAAGATTATATACGCGATAATAGCTTCCTCCTTATTGTATATTAGCGACCGCGGGCGCCCTTGTAATTGTAACGATATTGCCGGCTTGTTAGTCTCCCGTAGTAATTTCGTATACCGACCGATTAAATTACAAAACTCCCCAATTATATATATAATATCCCTTATAGAAGGAGGTTTCCTATAGTTATTATTAAATTTAAAAGAACTGTACTAGTCGCGCGCGTTAAAATATTATTGGGTAGTAGTTATACTAATATAGGGGACGAGGGAGTAATTTACGGGCATTAGCACTAGTAAGTTAATTAGCAATTCAATTAATTTATAGATATATAGAAGTCTTATTGATTTATAGTTTCACAGGGCAATGCGACGACGAAAAATAGCAATTGGGCACTGTTGTCGGCGTCGTTGTTAAGCGAAATTCACGATACAAAAGAGCGATTTTGCGCGGCGTTAACAGGCGAATGTGCATGGGTTATTTCGGCACTGTCCCATATTAAAATACTGTCCCAATTTTTTGCCGCCCCCTACAAAGTCGATTTGTAGGGGGGAAAGGAAGCTTGGCGCCCAGAACCCCCCAAGTATTCCACTTCTTCACAGGAAGGAAGGGCAGGGCAAACTCGTTCGTTCGTTGCTTCCCCTCCTCCTCTCTTCAGACGAGATGGACGACCCATGGGGCTTCATCCATCGGGCCTGTAGTGTAATGTACTGGCCTGATGATCTTGGGAAAGCGGAACTTGACTGAGACAGGCGCGGCCACTCCATACTACGTGAAACGAGCTCTGAAGCGGAGCGGGGGTGAGACAACTGACTGACTGACTGAACCTGGCAACAGAAAAGGCAGCAGCAACAAACCTTTGGACTCTGGCTTTCTTCGTCGTTGGGTTTTCATCCAACTTATCAACCCAACGAATCCGGGATAACCTTATGCGCGTGGCGTGGTCCTATGGAATTTAAACTCCGAACAGTCACCCTAGATTGGCTGCCTTTTGACCTCCTATGGTCGACCTGTTTTCCTACGTAGGTATCCTCCTACATATCCTTACTGGACCCATCACATCAACGGAGGTGACCTGAGGCTGTAAAGGTGACCGACCTAAAGTCCCGACCTCGTGGATACCCTCTAAAATCACTTGCAAGGGGTCAACCATCTTGTCCTGTACCTACGCCGAGAAAGCACGCAGCAAAGGTTTCCATTTCGGGAGCGCAATCCTACGCTGTTCGCCGCTGTTACCGCTATCACATTCAAGAACTTGATACCACCCAACAGGTCTTCTCCTCTCACCTAACCTCGGATCATTGTTGCCTACTTACCTTTTAATCTTTTCTCTTTCTTCATTTGTTTGCATCTTTCTTTTCTTCACTTCAGTCTCTATGAGGTTGATTTTGTGAATTACTTTCTCGTCGATAATCTCTCCCGAACAGGCCACATGTAAAAGTGAAGAGGTGGATTCAACAGTACCCCCAGTTTCATTATACTTTACAAATTTCCCTCACGCCACTTGAAACAAATCCAAACAGCATCCGCCTCCTTTGAAATCACCAAACAGCATTCATGAGCAGCATTATTCGGCAAACATCAAATTAGCGCAGCGGCAAGATGAGGCCCGACGACGACGAGATAGGGTCGCCTCTCTTACACAGCCACTTCTCAACGGAACATCTCGAGGTCGGCAGTGACGGAGGAGACTATGGCACGGCTATTACCCCCCTGTACGAGAGTGATTGCGCTACGCCCGGATCCGATATTCAGGAGGGAGTGAGACAGATTGAAGCTGTCTCGAGGGCGTGGACCAAGTCTGCTTTGATTGTAGCTTATATGAGGTGTGTTACGTCCAATCCGGTGTTTTGCTCGACAATTTGGACGAGGATGGCTAACACGGCTCGCTTAAAAGCATCTTTCTCATCGCTTTCACGACGTCACTTGAGGGTCAGGTCACATATGCCTTGACGGCTTTCGCTGTCAGCTCCTTCAATAACCACTCTCTGTTGTCGACTGTGTCTGTTGTCCAAAATGTTGTTAATGGTGGGTTGAGATCTGCAGAGTGACCGTATATCTTAGGGGACAGAAAAACTAACAGTTTCCAGCCGTCATCAAACCTCCTATGGCCAAGATCGCCGATGTCTTTGGCCGTCTTGAGGCCTTTGCTATCTCCATCGTCCTTTGCGTACTTGGCTACATCCTCATGGCAGCCTCCAAGAATGTGGAAACCTACGCTTCCGCACAAATCTTCTACGCGGCTGGCTCAACGGGTCTGCAGATTCTCCAGCAGGTCTTCATTGCAGATACCAGTTCCTTCCTCAATCGAGCCCTCTTCTCCAGTCTGCCAGACAGCCCCTTTCTGGTCACGGTTTGGATCGGACCGCTGATAGCGTCAGCCATTCTGGCAACGACAACCTGGCGATGGGGCTATGGCATGTGGGCGCTCATCCTGCCCGTTGCCTTTCTCCCCTTGGCCTTGAGTCTGTACCTCAACCGCCGGAAAGCTGAAGCACTAGGGATCCTCAAGCCAAAGCACTATCGCAGCAACAACAACCACGGCACCACCAAGACCAAGATTCGCCACATCCTCCTCCGCGACCTCGACATCATCGGCACTCTCCTCTTCAGCGCTGGCCTTTCCCTGATCCTGATCCCCTTAACCCTCATCTCCCGCTCCCCTCAGGGCTGGCGCGATCCTAAGCTCCTCCCCATGATTATCCTCGGCACCTTCCTTCTCATCCTCTTTCCCCTCTGGGAATCCCGCCCCAACCTCGCTCCTCACCCCCTTTTGCCTCTGGACCTCCTCAAATCCCGCACCTTCGTCGCCGGCTGCAGCCTAGGGTTCTTCTACTTCATGATCTTCTACATCGCAGTCCAGCCCTACTTCTACTCCTACCTCCTCGTGGCTCTTAACCTTCCCGTCAACCGCGCAGGCCAGATTACCCAAACCTTTAGTTTCGCCTCCACCATCGCCGCCATCCTGGCCTCCCTCGGCATCCGCCAGAGCCGATCCCCGCGCCCCCGACCGTTCATCATCACCGGCGCCTTACTGTACACCTTCGCCATCGTCATCCTGCTCATGACCCGCACCAAGGGCGTGAGCATCCACTCGCTGTTCTCCGCCCAAGCCGTCCTGGGCGCTGGTGCGGGCCTGATGCACGTTGCTACGCAACTGGCCGTGCAAGCCTCGTGCGGCGACAAACACGCCCACGTCGGCGTCGCCACCGCTGCGTTTCTGACGCTCGTCGAAGTCGGCGCCGCCGTGGGAGCTGCCTTTAGCGGCGTCATCTGGGGCCGACTGATCCCGCGCAAACTCGTCGCTTACCTCCCTGACGCGCTGAAAGGGGAAGCCAAAAAGATCTATGCCAGCGTAGTGGTGGCAAGGAGTTATCCCTGGGGAAGCGTAGAGCGGGAGGCGATTGCCAGAGCGTATCAGGAGACGGTTACGGTACTTCTAAAGTTTGCGCTGGTGTGGTGCGTGCCGCTGGTGGTGGTGGCGTTGTTTGTTGGCGATTATAGGCTTGGTGAGGGAGGGAAGTGGGAGGTGTGGAATGGGAGGGGGCTGGTGGTGGGGACGGGCGAGGAGGAGATTGATGAGCGGGCGAGGAGGATGGAGGAACGGGTGGAGTGGTGGAGGTTTTGGGTTTGGATGGGGAAGGGGAAGGGGTATTATAAGAGAATGAGACCTGGGAGGAGGTTGTAAGGTGATAGGTTCTGTTTTGGATGTTGGATACGAACCAATTGTTGCTGCTGTTGGATATGGGAATGTGGAAATGGGATATACCAAAGGGAAAGTCAAGGTTGGTGGAATCTTCAACGTGCAAGTACAGCATTGGATTGATTAGTTAGACAGTGTGTTTGTTAGGTCGGAGGATAGCGATGATACCATGATTGATTGATTGCGGATTTCTCCTTTGTGTATAACTAGGTTGAGATAGGTTTCAAGATATGTAAATAAGATCAACCTTTTTGTGTGGTATACTATATCTAGCAACTAATACAGTGAATATGTGCTACGACTTATCTCGCTCGATGACAGCTAGATAGTAGCCATCCAGGTAAAATCATAAAGTTCAACGGCAAGCTGTCTCATAAAATAGCGATATCCTATCAATAACGCCACAACAATGCATTCCACGTATTTCCTCATGTCACTCTCAAGCAACACTCAAACTACCAACAATCGTGTCGCCTCTTACTCTTCCATGATCTTCGTCTCAAAATGGAACCCAGCCTTGTCCAACCTGTCAATGAACGGCTGTCCCAAGCAAGCAGGCGTGTAAATCCCACCACCACCAAGCTGTTCATCCACGCTCTCCTCGTCAAGCAACGTGGCAGCCGCCTCAGCCAACAAGACACCGGTATCTGTTCAGTCCGTCAGCATATCTCTCTCTCGTAAGTGTCTCAACAACCGCCCATTCAGTCAAAAGGGGAAGGATAATAAAAACTCACAATAATAAACCGGCCCCCGAAACCAACACCGTCCAAACGCCCTCTTCCTCCCCTCCTCTTTCTCCTTTACTTCATCCCCACCAAAATCAGGCTTCGCAACCCCCCAATACTCCAACTCATCCCGCTTCGCCACTTCCTCCTCCGCTCCCTCGCCCGGCTGATAGACAAACTTCTTGGCCACCTTTCTCAAAAACGGCGTAGCCATGACTAGTCCCAACACCATCAACCCCAAATGGATAGCCACCCCGCTCAACCAGTTCCGGGGTTTCATGTACTGCTTAAAGCTGAACCGGGGACCATAACTCTCGTCTTCTTCTGCTTTCCCCTTGTTGGTACTTGCCTGCGAAAGCAAACCCCAAGTACGCTGCACGATCGCCGCGTCCGTCTTGGCTGCTACCGAAGTCGTTCCCAGTCCCAGAATGGGGGTGGTAGCTAAGCCAGTCACCTTGGTGATCCACGTGGTGCGCCGTTCGGCGAGGTCTGGGTTCGGATGCGGGACGGGACTTAAAGCGTAGGGTTTATATGCTTCCTTCAACTGCTTGAGAGAAAAGGTCTCGAGGATGGTGAAGACTGTTGCTAGTGTGCCGCCCGAAGGAGCAGAGCGCAGGGTGTGGATGCTCAGCGTCACTTCGCCTGTTTTTGTTGCAGGACCGAACTCGCGCTTTAGTTGCTGGGTGAGAGACCAGGTGAGTAAGTCGGAGGGGGCGGATTCGATGCCGATCTGGGGAAACATTTTGGCTCCGGATTGGGCGGCCAAAGAAGAGTATTTGGTGATCATCTTGTGGACAAAGGGGACTTCGCCTGTCACGTCAAAGTAGTGCGTGCCGGTGGTGGCGCAGGCGGCGAAGGCGGGCTCGCCTAGGGAGCCGTAGGGTCCGACGGTGGTGAGGAGTATGAAGGTCCGGCGGCAGAGGGATTCGAGGGCAGTGCGGTCGGTGGTGGAGGCGATGATCTCGATGGAGGGCGGGAGCCGGTCCGGGTTGAGTTCTTGAAGCCGGGACACGACGGCTTCGAGCTTGGAGCGGGAGCGGCCGGCTACGGCCCATTTCAGGGTGGTGGGTAGGTGCGTGGCGATGTGTTGGGCTGTGTATTTGCCGGTGTAGCCTGGTGGTTGTTAGCTTAGTGTTGGATCTGAGCTTTCAGGTTGGGTTGAGTACTCACCTGAGGCTCCATAGACGACAATGTCGTAGTCACGACCGTGTTGTTTCAGAGGCATCTTGAGAAGATGACTGATTGCGTCTTTGGATGGGAGTATGTTAAAGGGTAGGTGAGACTGTGTCTAGGTTCGGGACAGGTGAGTCTTTCACAACAAAGATTGGGGTGAAATCGATATCCAAGTGAACAAGAGAAGTATGTCTCAACACTTCAGTTCTTTAGAAGATTCGGGATGCCAACAGGAAAGAGCGGAGCGAAAGTGTCTGAGCAACTTGGTATAGGTCGAGATGATGCATCATTTATATGAAGATTTTGACCACGGGGGACCGCGGAAGGACCGCATCGGCGTCATCGGAACACCAACCCTTTTCCAAACATGCTCCGTCCCTTTTCGTTTGGCTTCCACCGAAGCGTAAAACACCACGCCATATGTCACCATTGCAACCGCTTCATGCTTGTCCAGCCGAGGCACAACAGCAGTTCCGCTGGATACTCTGGATGCCATCCGAAATAGGCAAGCACCGCCGTTTCATGCGGTCAAGAGAAACGGATGAAGGAGTCTTGGGCGGGACGGGGCCATTGACAAAGTCTTCGCAGCCCGCAATGCCTCCCGCCGGAACACGGACCAGATCTGGAGTGCGCCCGAGATCGTCGATACAATGTCCGGTCAAGCAGTCCAGCAACCCCAGAGACTTCTCTGGATGTCGGGATTCATTCCGCTCAATGAGGACGTGAACATGTCTTATTGGATAGTGTTACGGCTGAGTGTCCGAACCGTTGTTTGTTGACAGCGCTTGAACACTGTACTGCGGTAGTAAAGTCCACCAAAGTGTCACTTGCGCAGACAGTGCGAACCTTGAGGGCCATTGCGGTAGGGACGCTGCGAGATTTGAGCTAGGGCGCTGCATGCTTTGGAAGAAACCCACATTGAGACTTCTCCGTAGGTAAGGTAGTCCACCAATTTGCAGAGTACAGGTATGTAGTGGTTCTGTAATTGTGAAACCTGAACATCACACACATGGGGAGTCGGAAAGAGTTTGTAGGGTGTTCACAGAACATTGGGGGCACGACAGGAGCTCATAAGAGACGACGATGGGAGACGGAAGAGATGAACAATTGCTGAACAGAGTTGTTGTTGTTGGCTGATGTCACACAAGCGACGGGCGCGGGCCAGCTGTCAATTCGGAGCTGGCAGTGGCTCAGCTGCCAATGTGGGCAAAAGCCCCGCCAATGCCAAGACATTTGTCAGGCACACACACACTGGCCCTGGCACAGAGTCCCGTCGGCAAAATGGTTCTGCCTAGGGTCCGAAAAAAGCTCCCGGGGTGTGGACCGGCCGTCGCAGCGCTCGCACACCACACAAGAGAAAAAAGCCCTGGCCTTTTGTCAAATTCGCACATCGCCAGCAAGGACGGTAGTTTTCCAGACAACGACCACCTCAACCAGCCAAAATGTCTAAGCGCACCAAGAAGGTCGGAATCTCCGGCAAGGTATGTAACTCTCCATTTCCAGAAAGAATGTGTTGCGGCGAGATGGCTAATTTTTGATTTGCAAAAATAGTACGGTACTAGGTATGTAACGACGGTTTCCTTCGACTTGACACTCCCTTGATCGACGAGATTCACCGAGGACATTCGACGACGACGACGACGAGACCAATGGCGACAACACGACTGAGAACGAAGAATTACACGGCCGAAAACGACAAGCTTCCCTGGGCGCCGACTGTGGTGGTAGTGCTGAGGATGGAAAAGAGAGGGCATTCGGCATGAGAATAAAACTCGGCAACCAAAGCCAACAATCTGTGGGAGCAACACTCGAGCTAAATCAACAACGGCGACCTCTGCACCTTCAAAATTCCATGGGCCATTGCGAAAGCCTTCACCTCGACATGGCTTTCATCACCTTCCCACGGACCTTGGATACTCTACTCGGCTCAATCAGTTCACAATGGAAGCATCACTACGAATGAATCTCGTCGATCACGCACTTTCCAACAAATCCACCGAAGGAACAGCATTACTAACCAACAATCACACACAGATACGGTGCTTCGCTCCGTAAGCTGGTCAAGAGTCAGTACCCAACAGACCCCCACGCCCCATCGTTATCAGGTTACTAACAACCCCATAGAGCAGGAAGTGTCCCAGCACGCCCGCTACACTTGCACCTTCTGCGGCAAGAACACTGTCCGTCGCTCCTCCGTCGGCATCTGGTCTTGCAAGGCCTGCAAGAAGACCCTGGCTGGTGGTGCCTACACCGTCTCGTAAGTTTTCGTCTGAACGGAAGCTTTTCGACAGTATCTCGTCTTCTAACATAGTATCTCTAGCACCCCCGCCGCCGCTGCCATGCGCTCCACCCTTCGCCGTCTCCGTGAGATCACTGAGGTTTAAGGTGGTCGTTTAGCTGGCATTTTTGGTCTTTCGGGTTAGGTGTCATGGAAAAGGACAATTGGGGATCTGCGGATTTACTTTGGGATGAACCAGATTTCCTTCAATAACGACTTTGCTGCTACCTATTACGACATCACTATCGCGTGGTCTGGAGACGGGGCGATCTAGACAGGGAGTTTTACCGGCGTCTCTTTCCTCACATGAAGCATGGCTTGGGAAGATGTTCTAAAAGATCGCCAGGTTTGATTTTACGGTAGACAATGACCATGATACCCTTTCCTGTTGGCCAAATCCGACGACCCTCTAGCATTTCGGTGATTAGATGTCCGCAACCTCGTGTCGAAAACTATTCCCCTTCAAGCTCCCGGTTCGCGGGTTCCTGCATCTGCAAGACGCCAAACGATGAATTTTGAAGCGCTCTGAAGTTGTCCAACGACCGTCTCTCAAGAAATCAAAATGACGGGCACGCGGATGTGATGGAAGGACTGATTACTCCGTTTCTCCCGGGGAGATGACGGCATTAGATGGGGTTCGTAAAGTGTGAGCTTGAAAAGAGGACCGGTCAGATGCGATTTGTGCTACGACAACCTAGACATGATGAGCACAAGCTTCGCAGTTCAGATTTATACACCACGACAGTGCATACCCGAGTGATAATTGCGTGATAATCCCATGTTCTCAGCTCCTAGCTTCCACATTGCCACATCTCGTGAGCCTGCTTACAACACCTGGGCCGAAACGCATCCCGGTATCAACTTGATCGTGAACAGGATTGCAGATAAGGAATCTCTAGCATGGGCAGCCAACGGGGTGTGTGATCCACTCTACCCCTGCCAGACCGACGACTCAACGAGGTCTCGAGGACTGTCCTCCCGGTCGTCTTGCACTCAAGAGTGTCCGGGTAGCACTTGTCGATGCATTCAAAGTGGCAGCATGTTCCCCTATGCAGCTTCATCCTTAATGGCATCCAAAATCAAGAAACATCGGAAAGAAGTCACGAATTGTTACTGCCATTGACGCGATGAAAAACACATGACCCCATCGACCCTCACTGTTGCCTATAGTCATCCTAACATTTTTGTCGTGAGGAATTCTAAAATTGTGAACAAGTAGTCCTCAAAGTGACAGTCATCACCATGAATCAACAATAGCATCAGCCTATTACTTGGCGGTGCCTACATGCAACCGTAGAGGTACCTGGGCATCTTGAGGCAACCCTCCGTTATCCAGATCCAGACCAACAGTTTTGGGCAGGTACTTATACTTAGCAAAAAGCGAGCAGGATGACCTATCACGCATCAAGGTTCTCATTCCATAATCGTTACATGGACTGTTTGTGCCCGTCACAATCTTACCTACTTCCCCGCCCTTTTCATCCCGCGGGTGTCCTTCCTCAACCAGAATAATCATTTGATTGCCTGCCCGGACCAGGCGCTCGTTACCTCCATGCTTGGCGTTCGAGGCTTGCAAACTCACAAGTTTTTGGTAACCATGATAGTGTCTAGATTATTAGACCAACCAAGCAACCGTGAGTCAGCTGCCTTTTCCCACGTGTCGTTTCGAGGGCGCTGGAAGGTGGGAAATTCAGAATCACCGTCTTGCATGCAGTTTCTGGTGAGCATGACTGTTGTAGGTACATAGGTAGTATGCTTACAGACTATGCCTGATTTCCTTGAAAGTTGAACATCAACCCCCGGCCGGGGGTCTATACGGTAGGCTGAACACACACCTCCTCCATGCCTGCACGGGCATGTAAGGTATATTATCATCACAGTTGTCCAGTGCTGCTAGCTACCTCTCCTATGTAGGTACTACAGCTCCCGCTACTGACTATTTATGTGACCTCCTCCGACCCTGTCCTTGGCTGGTGAATCTTGGGCGGGGCCTCGAATGGGATTGGTCCATGTCTCGGTTGCGTTTAACACGGGGCTTTGAAGGCGAAAAAAGCCGTCTCCAGATCTGGAATATTTTGGCAGGCATCACTCAGTCTTCCTTCTTTTCTTGCTCCAACAAGCGTAAGCAGTGGCCTCTGGTTTCTCCAAAAAAAGTCCACCGCTCGACCCTCCAAACAAACAACGCCCGTGCATGACAACGGGAACCCGGACCCTTCCTTGACTGGAAAAAAGGACCACAAAGGTTCTCGGATTCTCTTCAGGTTCTTAAGTCTGCCCCTCGATTCTACCTACCTAGGTACCTACCTACCTACCTACCTACCTTTACATACCTACGTACTCGACACTGGGCTTTTCATCCGTTCGTTGAAGCTTTCAGGTTCCAGGTTCCAGGTCCCTTGTTGGCTTCCACCTTCTCTCGCGCTCGTTCGTGAGTGGCCCGTTCACGGCAACCTTGAAATTCCACTTTCTAGCTTGACGTTGCTTCCCTTCACCTGCCTGGCATCCCGTCACCATTCACAAAACGGATCCGACCTGTGACCTACCGGACCTTCATCTGCACTTTGGCCGTCTTTCCCTCCCGCAACTCACCTCACCTTTTTCCACACTGCTTCCACCAGCGGCAAACTACTTACCCACCTCCACTGCACAAACCCAAACCCACACCTGCTGCCGCAAATCACTTACACACCATTACCACCACCGCCAAAGCACCGCCAGCACCGCCAACCATAGCAACATTCAACACCTCTTTGCTCGCCCTGAAGTGACCTAACTACCCACGTTATTTCATTTCGGACAGGGGAGGCTCATCGTCGCTTGCTTGGAGTGCTTGGTCAGGTAACTCCTTTAGACGTTGCCAATCGTGCCCTGCACATCTCATATTTTATCTTTTCA